TCATAGTTTCTTCCAGTCATCTCTGCCAACCCCCACGAAGAAAGTCAACTGCCCCCTGAACGAATTTGTATTTATATAGAAAATATAAACATTTAACAATGTAGTATTATCCCAAGTAAAGCAATCCAAAAACCTTTAGGTGCAAAAGTGTCCAGGAGTTTTTAATCATTTAGCGAGGCAACAACGTTCTTTGAGAAAATGTTAGAAAAAGACTATTTATAAAATTTATGTTGAAGCTACTTTCTAAGAAATGTATAAATGAATATATTTGCAGCAATATCTACAAGTAGGCCTAGTGCAGTAATTATAACAGTTATCTTCCGATATTAGAATTCGAAGAAATGAACAATTTCATTCAATTTTGATTTAGATGTATAGATCTACCAATCAAGACGTAAGCTATGAAATGTATACAGTTTTTTCGTCAAAAATAATAAAAATAAATAAGTTTAAAAAACAATAAAATGGCAATGAAACGCCGGGTTTCTAACGTAATTATTTACGTCACTTAAACAGTTTGGGCATTCAATATCATGTTGTGTTTTCATTTTTCTAATAGGTACTGATAGCCAATGTTATATTACATGTGTCATGTTTAGCTTTTTAGTTATTTCTTTGCTTTGTCATTAATATCGTTTAATGTGTAGTAAAGGACATTGCGTTTTAAACAATACCTATTTTATAAAATATATTTCTCAAACAAGTATAACATTTAAAAAAAATATAGACCTATAATTCAAATGTATCGGGTACCGATGGCTAAGGCTAGTAGCTTATATAAGGTGCTGGTCAGTCGCGGTCAGTTTTCACCCACATGTGTTGTACGGTGTGGCCGGTCAGCACTTGGTCCCCGTGTTCAGCTCACCTGACGCAATAGCCTTCCAAATTTGATTGATATACATACAAGAAAGTTTAGGGGAGATCACTCCCGTTTTATTTTTTTAAATAAAGATTTTTTTTTAACAGCAGCTATAAGTTTTTAAACAATTTTGTTTGATTAGTACTATTAAAAAGCGCCACTATACTGAAAATGGTCCTAGGGAGAGAACCCTACTGCCGACACCTCTGATTAACTTTGTTAAAAAACGACATTTTATACAGAACTCGCAATAATATTTATACAAAGTGATTATATAGGTTTTAATGAAATTTTACAGCTCAGAAATATTTGATAGACAGTGAATATCATTCAAACATAACAGGTTATTTAAATGCATTGCACTTGTTCCGTAATGTTGTTTCTTACGATGTATGTTTAGAAGCCTACTGATGTTTACTCTCTTTTCAAAAGATACCAAACATGATTGGGAGAGTACAGTTGGAGCCGTTTGTGGAATTTGTGTAATATTGATAGTAATAGGGGCAATATTGTGGAAGAAAAGAGGTAAATTATAATTTTAAAAATGATGTATACTACAAGATTATTTTTTTACAAATGATAAAATGTGTAATCTAATAATTTGTTTACTGGATTTTGATGTTCGTGTTATTATGTTTCATTGAGCATGTTTAAGAGAATGTTTTTTTTTTAATTTTAAAAAATCCAATTGAGACTGTCGACAGACAGAATAAACAAGTTAAATAAAAGCTTGTAAAAATGTTTTGATTAAAAGCTTTTATGTTGTAATGCACTAAAAAGTAGAAAATAAACGAAACATTACTTTTGTAAATAGCTATTTCGATTGTATGTCTGTGTGTGTATGGGTGTATTTGTGTAGTTAATGTTAATGTATAAGGTACTAGTAATATTCCGCATTATTATATGCAAATAGTTTGGCGTTAACATGGTGCGCAATTCTTTTTCCTACGAGATTCTATTTTTAAAAGTTTAATTTAAAAAATAGATTAAAAATCAAGGCTATATCATGAGTTGCCATCCCCCGTAGTGTTGTATAAGAATATTCGAGAAAATTTAGGTGAGATCACTCCCGGTTTATTTTTCAGTAGGCCTACTTAATTTTTGTTTATTTACAATAGAGTTGCATGACTAAAAACTATTGCATTCCAAATAAACGTTTTAACGCGTGTATAATAGTGCGGAATAGTTGGATAAGACTGCCTACTAATTTGGACGCAATTTTAATTAATTCATAAAAGAATAATTAGGCATCCAATTAAGTCAAATTTAATGTCAGATAACATTGTCTTTATGTCTTGACCCCACGTGCCAACTTCGAACCGAATCTGTTGGTTAAAAGTGCCCGAAATTTCGCTCGGCAGTTTCGATCTAGACAGACAGACAGACTGCCGACAGACTGCCGACAGACTGTCGACAGACAGAGGAAGCAAGATAAATAAAAGCTTGAAAAATGAAAAATAAATGAAAATGAACAAACTAAACTAAATAAAGATTTAAGCCATTTCAAACACTAATTAATTATTTTTATTAAATCAATTCAGGTAATTTTGAACGCACTGTAGGCACGAATCTAATTACAAACTACTACAGTAGACAAATGGCAACAGACACAGCCGTTTGCATTTTAAGCATTGAAAACAAACGTGTAGTAGAACATCAAGCACATGTGGTCCACGAAGAAATTTTTGCTGAGGAAAGCCTAACTGAAATTCCTGAAACAGAGAATGCGATAGCAGCCCTAAGAACACAACCATTCTGTTTGTTGTCCAGACACAAGAGCGAAGTAAAAGAACATTCAACTGCTGTGGCTGAGATTCATGACAGCAGCATACGGCCAAGTGAAATGAGCGTCCCGTCAGTAAAGACTGAGAACACGAGTCACGACGTTGAAGGTTCACCCACGCATCGGGTAATTTTGGTGACACCATGCACATCTTCTTACAGTGGCTAGTGACACCTCAGCTCTCACTACATCGGCTTGATCGCATCACAGCATCACCCATCTATGTAGTGCGAGAAACTGATTGATCAAAGCAGAAAACAAACAGAAGAAATGTACTAGAATGAAGAAAACTCTGATAACTTTTGACACCCTGGGTTTCTATTGTGATGTCGGGATTACATTGCGATAGCACAGAGCCACTCAGTGTGTGGCACAGAAGGCAAGCATGTTGGATCTTCTGGAATCTAGAAAATTCATTTATTAATGCGCATATATGTTTTCGTTTACAGCAACAGGAAGAGGATAAGCAGTTATATGTAACATTTTTTCAATATTATAAGTAAAAATGATATTTATAATTGTTTGGTTTGATTAAAAAAGAATTTGGTAATTTTGATTTATTTATTTTTTAAAAAATGCTGATTAATTTTTTTAGCATTATAGAATGTCAGCTACTTACGTTAGTTATAAATCTAAATAGAAAAATTTCAAGGTGTGTAATTTGACAGATTTATATGATCGTCATCGAGGTGGTTGAACTATTTATGAGTTGAGGACAGCAAGTCATATTAACTACGTTTTTTATGCCATTTCACACTAATTTAAAGCTGGTATTTTTAAAAAAAAACACGGTGAAAACCGAAAAGGTCTATTAAATTATATTTAATATGATATGCATAACGAAATTAAAACCAACATACTTCATACTAAATACTTTTACGTGTGTTATAAATGTTACCATACGTTTACAACATACGCACACATACCTTACATGTTAATATTACATTTATTTAATGTTGAGTTGTTTAGCACTTTCTGAATATTTAACACATACAAGTATTAACAAAATCGATGTAAATAAACATTTGTGACTTTTTTCCTGTGACTTATTTTTCTGTGATTTTTTTTTCCCTTTGACCTTTTTTCTGTGTTTTTTTTTCTTCCTGAGATTTTTTTCCCTACAATCCTTAATCTTACATGTACACTAGTTCTTTCCCTGACTCCACCTCATTGCTCGAAACAAATCTGACTAGATGTGGCAAGTGAACTTGTCGGCCTGAATGGCGGAAAAGATAAGGGTTCTAACAAGGTGAAAATTTTAATGGTTAATTATTGAGTACGAGCCGACCTGCGGCCTATTATACGCCGCTATTTAGTTGCTTTATTTTCTACTTTTCAGTAATTCATAATTTGTGAATTCGACAGTGCCATTGCTGCCACTGAAAATATTTGCTTTAAAACACTATCAGTAGCTCGTTAAGGACGATAAACCACCCCCCCCCCCTCCTTTCCCCCAACCTCCCCCCCCCCCCCGAACGTCATGAAAGCAGCCTCCTCTTAGTTAAAATTGTTTCAAACTAAATTATCTGCCCCTAATAGCCGTCACTAAACCCGGCTCTACGATTGTAAACATTTAGCGTGAACCACAGCTCACCAGACTATGTGGGGGTGGTAGGGATATGCCTAGAGAGGAAGATAGGGGTCTGCTAGGCGCGCTTACAGCTTGATGTTTTCTATGGTATCCATGAAGAGAATTATATATATAGATTAGAAAACTATTAATTGTGACAAATGACCCTTTTTAGACATCGTTTTAATTTCAAACGACAGCAGACTGAATAACCCCAATTCAATTTAATACGTACAGAAAATGTTGATTAGATTTAAAGAAAGTTAATTTATTTTCATGAATTATCAGTTTGTGAATTATTAATCCGTGTATTTCTTGAAATCATTTTAACAAAAAAAAAAACAACAGAAATACCACAGATGTTCACTTTTTTTTTAAATTCTCGAGCTAGCCCCCCTCTTTATTTAGTACTCGTGCTATCTATCATGTATAATAATATGAAAATGTTAAACCACATCCCTCCTCGCAATATTTAGGATTTAAATTCGTGCCACGATTGACCAACAACCGATCTCAAACACGAAATGTCATCTGTCTCGAAAGGGGGACAGTGAACAATATAGTTTATCTCCAGTGATCTTTATTAGTATTTGACGATTTCATTTTTGTGCTATTAAATTTTTTTCAAGAAAGGATTTGCATCCGTTTAAAAATAATTTTGCAATAATAATGTTTTAATTTTATACATGATTAGGTTTTAATGTCATGATGGCAATCGTAAAAAAACTTTTAAAATATAAAAAACGTAGATTTTTTCTTAAAATACTTTTAGTGTTTATTTCAGCAAGTATACAAACAATTACTGCGAGAAAACGACTAGCAATAGAAACAAATATTTAGAAGCTTTTCAGTGTTAATATGATAAAATAGCATTGTGCGTATGTTGAAATACGGCATTAAATTTCCTTGATCCCACGTAAACAGACATGGCCTCTTGTTTCTGGTCCTAGGATGCTAACACACCCTTGACTAGTGCCAATAAGATTAACACCAGAACTCGATCTGTCAAAAAATGTATTCTACATAATTTTAACTGAATACATGCGTGTTTACTCTCTACACAATAAAAATGTTAAACTTTGTGTATTATTTTAGGATGCAAGGAAGTACTAGTGGATTCTCGTAAAATATCGCAGCTTATTATTCTTATGGGCAGCATATCTCAAATCAACATCACAGGAGAAAATATTTAGAAAAATATTAGGATCAAATTAAAACTAATGACTTATATAGTTGTCCCACGTAGATTATTCTAAATAATTCTTTATTGCACGAAACATCAAAAACGCTGAAAAAAATATTAGAGGCATAAAGTTGAAACGCACTCTATATAGATGCAATTGTTAGAGTTCATTCAGTTTGGACTGGGAAACTCTACAGGCAGACACGTTGTTTAAGGAGACCTAAATCCAAATAATTCACACACCTTGATAGTAATTTAAATACATAGTAAAAGGTCTCGAGTTCGGATCTAGGTTTAAACTTGTGACTGCACGACGTCTGTAAGCCCACTCAGTTCCGAAAGGTATCCGACTCACTTTAGGAAAAGTAAATAGGGCTGGGCGTAGTGCTGCCACACCAAACCTCAGATGTCAAGAAACATGTAAAATCTACTGTATCTGTTTTGTGTATCGTTAGGCTTGAAAGGGGAACTTTACTTTCACTGCTCTATTCGAAAGTTTAATAAAAACGCAAACATTTGTTATGCTTGATCGCACTGGGAGTGTCATCATTCCCTTTAATCGTATATAAAACTATGAATGAGAAACTTGAGGGGAGATCACTCTAGTTTTATTTCTTCCAGTTCCGCAACTACTATCAATTATATACTAGTAGCTAGGCAAACTTAACGTTTGCTGTCATAGATTTACAAATGTACTCACCGTATGTCAAGTAAGTAGAGCAGTTAGTTGATCCAGAAACTTGGCGTTTGAAAACAACGTGGCCTCTATCTAATATATATATATATATATATATATATATATATATATATATATATATATATATATATATATATATATATATATATATATATATATATGTATATATATATATATATATATATATATATATATATATATATATATATATATATATATATATATATATATATATATATATATAAAAGCACACACATAGGTGTTACATTGACATGTATGCACTTTTTAACAGTTAAAATTATATTTTTATTCATTTAGTCCAAAATATCTTTTATATTATGCAGTGTGTGTTATATTTGTGACAAAAAAAAAACGATGCTTTGTATCTGATTATTAATGACTTACTGATAAGGTCCTGCATAAATAGGGTTGAATTCTCAACGTAGGGGGGTCTGTGCTCAAAAAACCCATTCAGTGCATCGGCCTCAAATAAGAATCTGATGACCATGTCACTTTTCTCAAACATGATTGGGTCTAACCAAGCATACCAGCGCTTTGGTTCAGCATCATCACAGTAGCATTCATGCATCCACTGACGTACTTCAGATGCGCAACCATGGAGAAACACTGTATTAAAAAGGCAGTACTAGAGAGAGAGAGAGAGAGTATAAAAAGGTAAGCACTGTTGATTGTTCCGATATTTTGCATTAAAGCGAGTTTAACATGAAATTATGCATGCCTGTTCTTTTTTTATTTCAATTTTGTTAAAAAAGATTTTTATCTAATACATGGGGAAAAGCTGAAGTTTATTAAAAAAAAATTAATAAAACATGTAGACCTATATCGTTTTTAAACTATAATCAGACACGTTGAGGGCTTTTATCTAATCATTTATTCTGGCGACACTTGATGTGTGACATTTGATTGGCAACACTTGATGTGTGACATTGGATCTGGCAACACTTGACATTTGTAATCTATCAACACTGTACTTCGTACTATTGTTTAATATCCTAAACAATTCTTTTCAGAAAGGCTCACACAAAAAAAAATTAATGTAAAAAACTGTTAAAAAAACTTTTAATTTAAACTATTTCATATCAACATAAATTGTCAAGCTAAATGAGTATCACTTTCCCCACCCCCCCCCCCCCCCCTCCCCCCATTTGCCCAAAGACAAATAGTGGCCGCCAGATTTGAAATAAAAAAGAATCAAAACACTTACAGGCATACTAGCATAGATATGGTCGGAACAATCCATATCGAACGCACAGATGTCCGTAAGGAAGTAGGCGTTCTCCAACAGGTGCAGCTTGTCTTGTGGTAGGTGCATGCTGCCGTACACGATCAGAGGGTCCTGACCAAACACAACACAGCCAGGGCATCGTGGGATGTAGCCGTCTATGGTCGCAACAATACCGTTTTGGTCTTGAAATACCTGCGACATGAGCGATACCACCTCATGGGTACATTCTGAAAAGGTAATATATTTACAAAGTAAATGAACGGTTCATTAATTAATTTATTTTTAACCCTTTTACATACTAGGAGAGGAGAAGTCGTGTTTTTTTTTCTTCATGTTTTACAATCATGCACTGATATCTCTAGACTGTGATGAAGGTGACGTGCGCATTTCATAAATAGTTAGCTTCATTCATTATAACAGTATCCATGTATTTATAGAATGATCTATTATAAAAAAAACTTCATTTATTGTTTGTATATTAATTTCCCCTAACTGCAATTCTTATCAGAAAACGTAACATCACTTACCAGTAAGCAGTAGTAGCAAATTGAGCATCACCGAGCTTAATAGCATCTTAGTGTGGTGCTTGGGTTCTTTAAGAAATTACTATCTATCTGACGATGAAAATTTAAAGTTTCAGTTATTTAAGTCACTTATTTGCAAAGCTTTTTCAAGTGGAGACCCCTTTTTATAACGCCAATAATGTAAAAAAAAATAATTAAATTTTTTAATATTTAAAAAAAAATGTTTTATACCTAGCATCAAAATTTGCGATGAAGGTTTTATTTTAACACCAACCACATGCTATTCTCAACATTGAATCTGTTTTTTTTTAAACGAACAAGTAGTGAAAATCCACAAGCTGTGTAGACACAAACGGAACTAAACCTCGAAAAGCAAGCATCGCCACATTTAAGTATGTAGTACGTAAGACATCAACACTGAGTGAGCAGGTTTTCGTCAACCTGCAGCGAAATCATTTCACAAATTCAAGACTTCACCCTTTATTTATCCTGAATGTGGGTAACATTAATAGGAGCAGAGTGTGGATTACATATGAATGTAGTTTCTACTTCTTTCATCCCTTCAGTAGAGGGAAGTAACGCCCCAGATCGTTTTCAAGAGATTCGAGATGCCCAGAGATCGCTTTTAAATATTTATTTGTCTATTTTATTTAGATTCATCTACCAGCGCAGAGTTTTTTTTAATCTAGTTTTTGACTTAAGTCCATAGGGCAGGTAGAATAGAGAAAATCTGTTGTTTTTTTTTAACACTGCGTATAATGACATAGGGCGGCCAGCAACATGTCCAGCCGCAGTTTCAGTCGGTGGCAGGACGCAATGTTCATTGCAGACTCGCGACCGAGATGCGAACCCACGACTTTCAGGTGGTCTACCGTAAGGCCAAGTCATCCCGTGCCTTTTTATTAGATAGACACACACAAATGTATTTTTATGACTTTCTGTTTCCACTATTAAAAAAATATTTAAACAGTAGCACAATTATTCAACATTTTATTCAGACAATTAAATTATTTTTTTTAAATATCAGAGGCAGCAACTTTGACTATTAAAATTTCACCTGCACGGGTTGATTTTTAACATTGGGAACAAAAAATAAAGCTTTCTTTAGACTCAAGTTGGAGTAAAAAGTCCTGATATATAGGCCTAGAAGGAAAACTTTTAGATCTATATCTTAGGGTGGACGTGGACGGGTCAGTATAGCTCATAGTTGCTAAACCGAAAAGTCTTGAGTTCGAACCCCCCGGGGACAGCATCTAGGAGAGAAAACTCCAAAATAAAAATAAATAAAAATTGCTGCCTTTTAGTTTGTTCTTGGTTGAAGAAAGGGCAAAGGCTATGGAAGTAAATCCTAAAAGAAAGGCTGGCTGAGATTGGAGTCAACGGCCTGTTTGGCACATAACAAGTTAACACTTAATATTTAAAAGTATTGGAGGAAATCCTTTCCAATATTAACTGAAAAAAAAATTTGAAGATGATCTAGATTCCATATCCAGAATTCTAAATGTAGTCTAATTTAACCGGATATGCTTTATAATTAATTGCGCCTGTACGACTCAACGATTCTACACACTAGTATAGATTTGTTGTATGTTAACTATTACTATTTCCTCGCTTTCTAATTAATTCGCGAGTATGAATGTAAACAAGAAATTTTAATATTACATTTAGAATACTCAAGAGAGTGTATGACTTACTTTTATAGATTTTATCATGCTATCAATATTTTATGGCGGAAGTAGAAATACGTGTACAAAAATTTAAATACTTGTACAATGAAAACTAGCTAGGTAAAGCCGTGGAATAAATTGAAAAGTTTTAATTAAGCACACACACACACACACACCAAAGGCGAAACTACCATGCCGCCAGACCCTGCATTGCTGTGGGGGGGGGGGGGGGGGAAGCCTTTTAGGGGCCCACAGCGGACTATAATTTTTTTTTTAATTTTTAATTTAATGATCGTGCATTTCTGCTTTCAAGTTTGGTTTGTAAAAAAAACTTATACTGTAGCTGCGGTACCATTATCTTTATCTAACATTCACTATACCACACTCTTCCGCAAACATTACAATCCACTACACAAACTGTAGTGTAAAATATAGAAAAAAAACTTCAAAATTTTAATGACTTCTGTGACTAGTAGCTCCTATTTGATAGCCAAACAGGGGGCACGTAACACGTTCACACATTAGCATTATAAACGTTAGACAGACCCTGGAAAGTGTTCTGTGGCGAGATGGAGCAGGGGCTGGGGACCAAATATGGGGCTCGAAAATTATCGCCAATATATTTACATATAAAAAAGCTATTTATAATTGTAATTGTTTTAACCATTGTCAAGGCCGAGTTCTATTTACCCTACAATCAATCACACGCTGCCGCCGGCAAAACTCTTTGAAGAAAAACAAGTTTGTCCTTAGGGGTCATCCATAAATGACGTCACACTCGTAGGGGGGAGGGGGGTCCGTAATTTTGTGACGATGTGTGATGAGCTGGAGGGGGGGGGGGGGTTCAGATGTTGCGACATCACACTTTTGCATTATAAAAAAGCAATGTTAAAAAACGAATTTTAGACGTTATTTCGCGTTTTAGATAACTGTTTTAATAAATTGTAATAGTTTAGACAAGATTTTAGAAAAATATCGATGTTTTAAAAAAGTTCAACTGCAATTTTGAGGGGGGTTGTAGGTTGAGGTGTGACGTCATTTTAACGGGGGGGGGGTTGCCTTTTTGTGACGACGTGTGACGGAGGGGAGAGGGGGGAGGTAAAAATCGTCCAAAATAGCGTGACGTCATTTATGGATGACCCCTTAGCTCGATAAGCCTCTAGATATTCTTATGTAGTTGTCTTTCATGATGTACGAAATTGTACGATACTTCCATTGTACATTTTTTATGTATAATATGTGTTTGTGATATTGGTAGAACTTTTATCCTGTACTATCCTGTATGTATCCTACATATCATTAAAAAGAATTAAGTACTAGTAACTTCGGTCTATATGCGTTTACTTGTTTTTGCTTTTACAAGAAATGTGATAGAAAACATGTATACTTTTGATTTTCTCCCTTGAGTAATTTTAATACAAGAATTTTTGGGAAAACCATGCCAAAATTCTGACGATGCTTATGTACATGGACGCTTTCTTGTCGCTTTCAAGTTTCTTTCAGAGCCGACCCCCATCCCAAACCTCTTTCTTAACCTCGCAAGTAGCGAGTAAATAAATGTATCGTTTGTGAACTTTCTAACCGTGCATTCGCCACTTCAGCACAGGTCAGCAGATTTTAATTAACTTGCATAGTATTTGATGAATCTAATTCACAAAACAAGATTTTTTTTATATTATTTAAAAAAGGTTATTCATTACTAAATGAATTTATTGCACATTATTTAAAGTCAATTGCTATTGATAAATGACCCCAGTTAATGGTAAGGGTCTGGCTTTTTGTAAGTCGTTTAAAAAGCATGACTTTATTTCTGAATGGCCCCTAAATCAGAAGGTTATCCGACGTGTGAGCTGGACACATGCAGTTGTACATGTAAAAAACACGTTTTTGTCTTTTATGCATTGCTACATCATTCATCCGATCACCAAGAAAAGCTGGGAAGCTATTGGGAAAAGTTGGGAAGCTTGTTGGAAAAAGCTGGAAAGCTTGTTGGAAAAAGCTGGAAAGCTGTTAGAAAAATCTGGGAAGCTGTTAGAAAAAGCTGGAAAGCTGTTGGAAAAAGCTGGGAAGCTGTTAGAAAAAGCTGGAAAGCTGTTGGAAAAAGCTGGGAAGCTGTTAGAAAAATCTGGGAAGCTGTTAGAAAAAGCTGGAAAGCTGTTGGAAAAAGCTGTGAAGCTGTTGGGAAAAGCTGGGAAGCTGTTAGAAAAAGCTGGAAAGCTGTTGGAAAAAGCTGTGAAGCTGTTGAAAAAAGCTGGAAAACTGTTGAAAAAAGCTGAAAAACTGTTGGAAAAAAGCTGGAAAGCTGTTGGAAAAAGCTGCGAAGTCGTTAGAAAAAACTGTTGGAAAAGGCTGGGAAGCTGTTGGAAAAAGCAGGGAAACTACATTGGCTACATCCGATGACTAAACCTAACCAGGGTTGCACCCGTCACCAGTGGCCCCAAGTGCATTATTATCATCAATACATAGTATTCGTCAGGCAACAAGTCTGTACTCTGGTGGTTCCATACCCTCGGCCGCATGTCCTTTTGCCGAGGAAGTCGCTGCTTGAATGGCATTCTTCATCTCTTGTTCAACACTGTTAACATCTTCGCTAAACTCTGGCATGCTTTCAGCATTCGAAGCTCTTCCAACTCTTTCACATATTAACGAACAAAGAATTAAGAAAGATAGGATTTTTTAAACTTCGTCACATTTAAAATTTTCTTTAATATAAAGGTTTTAAAAAAAAAATTTATCTTCTTTAAGTGATTATAAATCTAAAAAAATTTAAAAAGTAAGTTGATATTTAAATTTAACGGGAAGTAACCAAGCTTAGATGATTTTCCTGAAAATATTAAGAGTACTTTCCCTTCTTGACGTAATTTAACATCGAGCCCAGATCAAAATTAAAAGTATTAATAGATTTCATTCATTAACAGTTTTCATAATAAATAACAAAACTTCTTATTTTTAAAAGTAAGAAATACCTGATTAATTCAATTTTTAAAATATTGTTAGGTTTTTTTTTTATTTGGAGGGGGGGGGGGGGGGTTGAAGGGGTACATGGTTTAAATAAGTGTGGCCCCTACTTCATATATATATATATATATATATATATATATATATATATATATATATATATATATATATATATATATATATATATATATATATATATATATATATATATATATAGTATCGGTCGGACCCTGTACTGACATTAGCGGTAAAAGTTATTTGTAAAGGGCCTGACTTATGTGCTAATTAATCATCATATTATTATGCCTTACGCTGCCCGGTGTCTGGGAATTTTTAAAAATTTCAATGCAATGTCTGTATGGTGTGATTTTGCGCTCTGGGCTATCCCTTGAGCACTATGGCGCCTACGTTAGTTTTAAGGAGTACCTTATAATATTGACATGGTGGCACACGACATTTGTTGATTAAACCGAGCCAAGAATCTTACGCGGCGTCCCTGCAGTAGTGTCGCTGGGGGGGGGGGGGGGCTCCCGAGGGCGCCCTGCTACATCCCTGACACTGGGCGGTTGCCGAAGTGTGTTCTAACTCACTATTACACAGAGTGATTAACGTACACACAAGGCTTGAACACACCACGATATGGGGTGTGATGGGCGGTAGTGTAAGCACACCCCTGCCCCGACAAATATGATCCAATAAATATAGCGCAGGCCTTGTTGACATTTAAATAGCTCACTTTTAGAAAACAAGCTCACGCGTCTGAGAATATAGGATTGGTAACGCATTGATGAAACCGTCTGAGAATATGTA